CTACCGATTTTTTTAAATTTTCGTCCGCCATATTGGATCCGCCATTTTGAATTTTTGGTAAATGACTTTGGATTCGTAATCAGCGACCCAAAAATCCCCTAGGTCAGAAGTGGTGTAAAGATCCATCAACGAGTATTTGTTTAAATAGTTTCGTCCAGCTAGATTTGCGATCCGAACCACTGTGAGCCGCTCAACAGTCAGTCAGCACGGAGCTGTGGGAGCGGCCGAACAAATACAGCTGAAGGGAGCGATTGCTGGTGCGTCGGCAAATGACACCACAAGTCATCACCAGTCAGAGGTAGAGAGCCATAGACCGGAGTGAGGGTTACGACTGAGGGGAGGGATTTCTGGTGCGTCGGCTTTGATCACCGCCAACCACAGTATACCGTGAAGCCGCGTACGGGCGACACCCGCCGTCAGCAGAGCGACATCAACTGCGCCAACAAGGAGCGCTCCCCATCCGCCGTCAACAGCTGGTCCCCGGCGTCACCAGAGCGCCACTCATCGGCGCGACTAGAGCGCTACTCTCCGACATTACAAGAGCGCCACATACCGGCGTCACCAGAGCGCTACCCACCGACGTTGTTAGAGCGCCACTCGCCGACACGACCAGAGCGCAACTCACATTGCAAGAGCGCTACATACCGACGCGGCCAGAGCACCACTTATAGACGTTAGCAGCGCGCCACTCAGCGGCGTCAGCAGGGCGCTGGCCACCAGTACTAAAGCCATGCCACTACAGCCTAACGGGCTCATGACACAACAAGAAGCCGTTACCCAGCCACTGCAAGTGACGCTACCGAATATTTCCAATTGTTATTTTGTTATATGTTTGATAGTAAGTAAGAGAATAATCTAATAAAGTAGGATTCATCAGAGCCCGAAACTAAAAATTTATTGTAACGAACCCTGGACACGGCGAGTATACCCCAGCATTGTAGAAGAAGCATCGGGGCAACAAAAACGCTTCGTTACAATACATTCGACAGTTCCAGCCCCGATGCAGCTTCATTGGAATGAATTTTTCAAGTTTGTTGTCTCGACCCTTTAAAAGGTTTTTATTAAATACGATGTTCCAATTTTTTAATTCAAGTACTAAAAAAATTATTATAAATTACTAACCTTTCCATTTTTTATTTACCTTAATCATCTAATTTAATCACCTAAAACATTTCTTAAAAATACTTGACATCCGCATTCGCATCCGCATCCGCGGATGTTAGCGTTTAAACATCCGCATTCGCATCCGCGGATTTCTAAAATTCCACATTCGCAAAATCCCTAGTATGTACATACATACGAGCACCAATTAATTTTATTTAAAGAAATGGGGTGTCGTCCCTTTCCGCTGTAGCGTACGTAGTGCATAGAGCGACATCTACCTCTCGAACCAACGAGGTTGATATCTAGACTTAATAGGAACTTTGCAAAGCAAAGCTTTTATAGCTGTCTGGACACACAACATTGCAAGTTGATAAGAGCGTTGTACAAAATTTGAGATAAATTTTAAGCGATCGTTATTCATATAACCACATACATACATATGTATATACATACATATATTACTTTTCATATCAATTCAAGTCTATTACATGGACTTGTAGTCTGTTTTATGCAATAAGTAGCATGAATTCAGTAGGTTTGCGATTGGACATATAATCCAAAGAAATAAAGAACATGATAATTATGAATACAGATTTTAAAGTTTCTGTTGCTATGCAGCTGTAGGTCGTTTCAGAAGTAATTTTCTGAGTAGAACTCGAGATCGATCTTAGAACTGCGCCAAGATATTGAGGTTAAGTACACGAAAAACGACTTTAATGGCCAATTTTGTTTGCTCTATGCCATTTAGTACTATTCTTAGCCTTAAAAATGCGCCTTCGAGTGGTGCTTTACGATTTTTCTTTCAGAAACTATGGCCATAGGAAGATTATGTAATGAGTTAAAGAGCATATGCTTGGATTGGCGATCTTAGATTCTCTTGAACTCTTGAAGGAAAAATCGCAGAGCACCATTCGAGAGTGCATTTTGAAGGATAATAATACAGGGTAATCGAAGAGAAGCAAGTATAATGCAAAAAATGGTGGTCCTTAAATATAAACAACCCTTAATTTCATGTTGTGCTTTTTATACCCGAGCGCACTTGTGCACAAGGGTATTATAACTTAGTTCACATAACGGTTGTTTGTAACAGGCAAAACGAGTCGATATAGACAAATGCAAACATAAATGATCAGAATGAAAAGAGAAATCGATTAAGCGGTGACTGTCTGTCCGTCCGTCTGTGCACACGATAACTCGAGTAAAAATTGAGATATCTTAGCGAAACTTTGTGCGTGCACTTCTTTCGGGTGTAGGGTGGTTAGTATTGAAAATGGGCAAAATCGGACAATAGCTACGCCTACCTCCCATATAACGGTACTTTTCAGAAATACGATATTTTAGTAACTATTGAAGATTATTCACTCAAAATTAATATTTACAATAATTTTCAGACGGAAAATAAGAATATTATAAATTTTTGGAAAATGGGCGTGGCCACGCCCACTTATGGTTACATGTGCATATCTTGGTAACCGCTGCACCAATTTCTTCCAAACTTGGCACAGTTGTTAGCCTTGCTACAGCATAGAAAACTGGCCGAATTTTTTAAAATCGGACAATAACCACGCCCACATCCCATATAACGGTAATTTGGATAAATACGAAATCTTTGATAAATCAGTAAATATTAAAGCCAATTTATTCGAAATTGATGCTTGCATCAATTCTTTACCAAGAAATATGTTTATGATAAAATTTTGGAAAATGGGTGTGGCACCGCCCACTTATGATCACATATATGTATCTCGGTAACCGTTCTACCAATTTGTACCAAACTCGGTCTGGTTATTGTGCTTGCCACATAAAAGCAACACGTTGAAAATTATTGAAATCGGACTAAAATTTAGGACGCTTTTCATATAACGGTAAATTTCAGAAATACTTGAAACTTCAATATTTCGAAATTTAAGGACGCTAATTTACTCAAAATTGAGTAGCGGTAGCTTTCGGAAAGGCGAAAATCATATATTTAATACTTCCTCCGGGTATTTAATGTTCGGCTCCGCCCGAACTTAGACTTTCTTACTTGTTTAATTTTTTAGTGTTTTAAGTGAATTTCCATGTTTGATGTTTATATTGTCTGATACCTCAGAATATGTGTTACGCATATATATAGCATTTTCAGTTTAAATGAAACTTTTTTCAAATTAAATGAAATCTTTTTCAGGTCAATCGAAACCATTTGCAAATTAAATGAAACCTTTTTCAGATAAAGCGAAACCTTTTTCAAATTAAATGAAACCCTATTCAGATTCAATGAAACTTTATTCAAATTAAAAGAAACTTCCTTTTAAGAATGTTTCATTTGATTTGAAAAAAGTTTTATTTAATTTGAATAAAGTTTCATTGAATCTGAACAAGGTTTCATTTAATTAGAAAAAGGTTTCGCTTTATCTGAAAAAGGTTTCTCATCTAATTTGAAAATGGTTTCGCTAAAGCTGAAAAAGGTTTCATTTAATTTGAAAAAGGTTTCACTTAATTTGAAAATGGTTTCATTTAAACTGAAAATGCTATATTTAAAAATCTGCGAAACCTGGATAAAAAATTGTGTCCCTCGGTTTCGCTTTCGGCGATTTATGCTTTTAAATTACTACAATTTATATATAGGGGCCCATGATTTTTGAGTCCTGGGCCCGAGTTTTCTCTCGACGGCCTTGTATACAATAAATTACGACTAATGCAGATATTTTTTCGGAGCACATTATAATTAACCTTAATATGTAAGTACACATGTACTTATGATTTCCATATGTATATGAATAACGCACATTTTTCGTAATATTATATGATGGAAATATTTTCAATTAACTCCATAATAAGCCGTATAAAGTTACTGTTTTGTAAGTGGGAACTTTGTTGCAGAATGCATTCGCACATCATGTCAATTCTCGCGCTTGTGTGGTGGCACATACATTTGCCTTTCACCCCGAAAACGTTGCTGTCCACCTCCTCCTCTCTGATAGGCGCCACCTACTTGGATCTGTTGAGCTGAATGAATCTGGTTAATAGTATTGGATTTTCCTTGTTGGGGTTGTTGATATGAATTAGCTGTATTATAGTTATTTATAGGACAATGATTGCCATCAGTTATTGGCAGACAATCAGATTTCAAAACTTCTTCATGGTTACCGTATCCAAGGTAAAACACCACACATGTTTTCTCTGACACCGCTGTGACCTCAGCCTCGTAGTACTATAAGAAAAAAAAAATAAACTATTAGTATGTACATGTGTTTGTTTGTATGTACATAAGTATGTACCAGAGAAGCAATTTCGAAATCATATCGTCGATAGTTTTGCAAAACCGCCTATCTTAAACTATGTTCACATATCAATATTACCTCAACCAAAGCTCGTTTTTTAATCACCCGTCAAATTTGTTGTGCTTGTTATTCTCACATCTCAAGGAAAAGTTGTTTCTTCTCTGTGCCACCGTGATCACGTTTTTCTGCTATATTAAGCAATATAGATATATTTTAACTTAACATTTTATTAAAAAATACCTTTAAAACCCTCTTTTCCTTGCTAGCGTCCGTTTTTGTTTACTTTTACATTTGCCATTTCTGCTCTTCTTCGCAAAAACAATCGATAAAACTAGGCTGGATACCGAAAAGTTATCGGTTAAATCTGAGATTATTTTATAATTACAGATTAACAAGGGAGGAATTTTATATGGCTAATCTCTTTTTCTAATTACAGATTAGGAAGTTAAGCTCGAAAATGAGGATAATCTACTTATATGTGAACCTAGTATTACGGCACTCAAATTTTACAGGAGAGCGAAAAAACGGTTTATTCTTTGAAGGCATTGCCTTGATAGCCGGTATTTTCTCTACCTATTATTTTACAAATATGTTGTTGTAATAACGATTTAACGATTTTTATGCATAAATCTCGATGCCTGGAGTTCAGGGTTACCAAATCTCGTTTTTGCCACAACGGCGATTTAGGCGGTTTTGCAACTGGTCGACGGGTGGTTTTGCAAAAACATCGACGATATCCTTTGTTATACCCGAGCGCATTTGTGCATAAGGGTATTATAACTTTGTTCGCATATCATTTGCTTATAACAGCCAAAACGAGTCGAGGTAAATATAGACAAATGTATATATAATTACTTAGAATGAAAAAACAAGCCGATTAAGCCATGTCTGTCTGTCCGTCTGTCCGTCCGTCCGTCGTGAACAAATTTTGCTATGTCAACGTAATTTGGTATGTAAGTTGCCCTTTATCTAAGGTATATCCACGCCCGGCTCCAGTAAACGGCTTTTTCGAACAATAAAAATACTGTAATTTTTCCCCAGATACTGGATTGAAATTGTTGAAAGTTGGAATGTGAAAGAGAATTTTGGCATAAAATAAGGGTCGTTTTCTCAAGTTGGTTTTAATATTTATCTGCCCTTTAAACACAAATTTTGTTCTGAAAAAAATGTTTTTAAATGCCAGGTAAATTTTAAAACCTACATGAGAAAACGACACTAAGACAGTTATGAAATTTTTGGAAAATGGGAATGGCACCGCGCACTTATGATGAAATACTGTATCTCTACTGTCGCTTTACCAATCCCTAACAAACTCGGTTTTTGAAATAAGGCAAAAACTACGCCCACCTTTCATATAACGGTAGTTTACAGAAATACGAAAATTGCGATAAATTAGCAACTAAATACTTAAGCTAAAGCTGGATTTACATGAGGCGATTTTCTAGGCAATTCCACATTGCTCAAGAAGAATCGCTGGTGTAAATGATTATTAAAAAATCGCTTTTCTCAAAGTAGACAGCAGGTCAACTTTTGCAGGCGATTATAGCCTGTCAAAAAATCGTCTAATGTAAAGGCAGCTTAATTCACTCAAAATCGATATATGCAATGACGTCTTGGCAAAATTGATAATAAAAGAAAATCTGGAAAATAGGGGGGTATGCATATAAAGTTCGGTTTCACCCGAACTTACACTTCTTTACTTGTTAATTCATGAAATATTTACAAGTAGTTCAGTCCAGGTAGCTAAAAAAATAGGGGCAAGCTTACAATAATTAGAATAGAGCTGAAAATTCGTACAAATGTTGGGAACATCTTTATAAATAAAATGTCAAACGACCTCATCGATGCCACACCTCCAAAAAGAATTATTTAAGGTCAAAGGTCACATAAGGTTTATCATAAAAAAAGAAACATGTAGCTGTTGTTCCTAAGAATTACCATTTCTGAGATATAGTGATTGCAAATTTTAGTAAAAGGAGTTCTTTAAATTTGTATGTTTCATAAATTCGAATGGATCTTTAATTAAGTG